TTAATCTCTTACTTATCTCCAGCCCAGGCTCATCTACTCTCTGTCACCTGTCTGGGCCAAAAGGACAAACTGAAAAATTTCCAAAGAACGGTGACCAGGACTGCCAGTGGAGTGGAAACTAAGGATGGAGAAGAGGACACTTGGGATAGGGAAGAAACACGTAACAGGGTTCTCTGAGTAGTTAAGGGTTGTCATTTGCAAGTATTTACTGTGCAGTCCCTTAAGGAACTCACATTCTGAATTCAAATCTGGCCTCAGATACTTACTAGCTGTGTGACCCTAGGTAAGTCATTGAACTGGCTCTTTGCGCCTCAGTTTCCTCACCTGTAAAAATGAGGAGGTGAGACTTAATGGTTTCTAAAGCTCCCTCTCACTCTAAATCTGTGATGTATAATCCTGTGATTTTCCTGCCTGGCTACAAAGGTCAGAATTAGAAATAATGAGGTGGAAATCAGAGAGTGAAAGATTTCAGCTCAATATAAAGAAGAACAGTAATTAGAGTTGTTCCCAAATGTAAAGGGACAGCTTTGTAAGGTCATGAGCTCTCCGTTGTGGGAGGTATTCAAGCAATGGGCTTGATTATCATTTGTCAGAAAAGTTATAGAACAGAATCCGTCTCAGGTACAGTTTGTGCTAAGGAATCCTTTTATTTCCTTTCTGCTCCAATACTGTCATTCTGGGTTACCTCCTACTTGAACCAAGAAAAATGATTTCAAATGAAGTCATTATAAGATATTTATAAGACACGCAGCCCTTCACTTTTGGTTTTGTGATTTTGATAAACATCACTTCCTTTGGCAAGGTGAGTCTCCAGTGGCCCCCACTGGTTCTCTGAACTTAGGTACGTTTATGTAAGATGAGATGTGAATTTCCACATGTATGTTGCTTTCTGGGAGCATGCAGAGGTATCTATTTCTGTTAAACCCAAATAAGAAGGGCCTACTTATAACTGGCTGTGCTGCATAAATGCAGAATCTTTTAATTTTTAATAGCACCTCCCCAGGGACATGCCTCCCATTTCTCAGGCAAACCCAGCATTCACCAGCTAAAGGAAGCTAGGATGAGGTCCGCTGAGGAAAGCCTACTTAGGACCTGTTGACTGATTCCTGAATTCTCTGTGGGTGTTGGGAAATAGCTAAGCCAGGAACATGCTTTCATCTACTACCAGTTCTTGGTCAATCTCCATTAGCAAAAAGAAAGAGGTGGGGACCTTCATCACCTCTCACCTAGACTAATACACTAACCTCCTAATTGTTTTCTCTGCCTCATTTCTCCCCAATCCAATGCATGCTCCATCAAGCAACCCACGTGATTTTCCTAAGGTCTAAGCTTGCCCATAACATTCCCCTGCTCCCTAAACTTCAGTGGCTCTTTGCGAGCTGCAGAATCCAATGCAAAATCCCCTCTTTGGCCTTAAAAGTCCTTCACAATCTGGCTCCACCCTCCCAAAGCTATTATACATCTACTCCCCTTCACACTCTCTGTGTGAAGCCTAAACAAGCCATCTGGCTGCTCCTCACACAGGACATGCCAGGTTCCACCTCCATTGTCTTCATTCAGGCTGTGCCTCACACCTGGAATGCAATCTCTCTTCACTTCTACTCTTGGAATCCCTTTTTCCTTTCAAGGTTCAACTCAAACTTTACCTTTCACTTGAAAGGTCTGAGCTCTTGCATAACCTCCCTCTAGCTAATAGTGCCTACATCATCACATATTTAAGTACTGATTTTTTATGTTCTTATATTGTCTCCTCTATGGGTAGCTAGGTGGCGCCATAGTGCATGGAGCGCCAGGCCTGGAGTCAGGAAGACTCCTCTTCCTGTGTTCAAATATGGCCTCAGACACTTACTGTGTGACTCTGGGCAAGTCACTTAATTCTTTTTGCTTCACATGTTTGTTTTAATACTTCTGGGATCCAGGATGTCACTAGTGTGGGCAATATACCAACCATCCAGATCACAAACCCCCTCCATACCTTGCGAAATACCACAGCCAATGGAAATTCATTGCCTGGCGGCCAGCCTTTTGGCTGTGTCTCTGAACCTGGCCTTTGGTGCTTGGTAGAACATGACCATGCTTGCATTCCATTGGCAGAGCTTTCAAGGACTCAAGGTCAACTTCACACCACGGTGAGGAATCAGAACGGGACATAAGTGGAGCAAGGATAATGATTACATCTGGCATTATATGGTGTTTCAAGGCAAAGAAACTGCTTTACAGTCTTTTTAGGGGTGAGATGGGGAGGAAGAGGGCAGGAGAATTTAGAACTAAGATATCAGTATAGGGAGGAAATTCTTTTTACCAATGCAAATCAGCAGTAGTTAATGCTTATTTTTGCTAGCATGTGTAGATTTGCAAGGCATTTTACAGATATGATTTCATGTGATCTTCACAACTCTGGGAAGTTGGTGCTATTATGATCTCCATTTTACAGATGAGGAAACTGAGGCAGACAGAGGTTAAATGACTTACCCAGGGTCACACAGCTAGTATGTGTCTGAGGCTGGATTGAAACTCAGGTCTTCCTGACTTCAACACTCTATTCATTGTATTACCTAGTTGCCTAGTTACCAGAGATTAAATGTTCAGCACATTGAAAACTCCAGATGTGTTTTTCAAGAAAAACTGCAAGTTTATCTCAGAGGGAAGACAGTAACATTAAGGGGTAACAGAAAGACTTCTTGTAGAAGGTGGGGTTTTAGTGAGACCTTGAAGGAAGCAGAGATGAGGAGGTAGAGAATTCCAGGAAAGGGGAATAGCCAATGAAAATGCACAGGGTTGGGAGAGGAACAAGAAAGTGCAAGGAGACCAGTGTGAATGGATTGAAGAGCTTGGGGGAGTAAGTAAGGGGTAAATACATATGGAAATATAGGAAGGGGCCAGATTATAAAGGACTGTAAAGACCAAATAGAAGATTTTATGTTTGATCCTGTACATAATAGGAAGCCACTGAAGTTTATTGAATGGTTTGCATGCATGTGTGTGTGTGTGTGTGAGAGAGAGAGAGAGAGAGAGACAGAGAGAGAGAGAGAGAGAGAGAGAGAGAGAGAGAGAGAGAGACAGAGACAGAGACAGAGACAGAGACAGAGACAGAGAAACCCGAGACAGAGGCCAACCCACAGCTACTGCAGTAGTTCAGGTGTGAGGTGATGAGGATCTGCATCAGGCTGGTGACAATGTCAGAGAAGAGAAGGGGACATACACAATAGATGCTATGAAGGTAAAATTGACAAGACTTGGCAACAATTTGCATACGGAGGGTGAGAAGGACCTGAGGATGACACATAGGTCCCAAGCCTGGGTGAAGGCAAGGATGATGGTGCCCCTGACAATAACTCAGAGGTCAAGAAGAGAGAAGGGTTTTGGGGGGGGCATGGGGGAGAAGAGACTGAGTTAGGTGTCAGACACATTGAGCTTAAGATGTCTACAGCACATCCAATTCAAGATTTCTGAAAGGCAGTTAAAGATGTGAGATTGCAGGTCGGGAAAAAGATTAGGTCTGGATAAGTGGATCTAAGAATCATCATCAGAGAAATGCTAACTGAAATCCTAGGAGCTGATGAGATCGCCAAACAAAATAATACAGGAGAAGAGAGAAGGGCCCAGGTGGAGCCTTTGGAAACACTCACAGTTAGCCAGCTTGAGCTGGATAAAGATCTAGCAAAAGAGTCTGAGTGGGCAGAGAAGTAGGAGGAGGACAGCATCATGAAAATCCAGAGAGATGGAAGTATCCAGGAGAAGAGCATAAGTTACAAAGTCCCAGAGACATTATTCATTTTCATACATCAGATTTCAGGCTCTGTGCTCTTCTTCCAAAGCAAGAGGACTCCTCTTCCAGACTCAGATGTGGAGAACATAATACATTGTGATACTCTGCACTGTATAAGACCCAGTACTGACACTGTCCTGTGGAAGAGATAGCCTACTGGGCAAAGGAAGAAGGCGGCTCTCCGTGCCTCAGAGCCCATCTAGGCCCCCTGCACTGAGTGGCTTATGCCCTCACTGAGATTCCTAGCTCTGGCAATGGCTGTTAGGTATTTAGATTGGCTATCCTTCTCTCCTAAGCCTCGATCAGGACCTGCCGCTCTCCTTACAAGCTCCTGGAGAACAGGCATGCCTTGCAAGGTTCCTGGGGACAACTGGACTCTATATCATCCAAGGAAAGGCTTCTCATTTTTTTTTTTAATAATGAAGAGCAATACCCATCCTAACCTAACCTTAGAGGAGCATCCTTCCATAACAAAGAGTGGTATAGACATTCTTCTCTGCTGGGTATAATGGACTTGTTAGTCCAAGAAGATTCATGTCATTTATAAAATTAATTTACAGGGAAAAGGAGTATTCATAAAAATACAACTAATTGGGTTAAGATGACATATTCACAAGAGCAGCACTTTAACTGCAGAGGATTGGAGAGTCTTCAAGATGCAAATTAAGTCATCAATCCTCCAAACCTCTTTATGGGACTGAGGGAGAAAAGAAAGGCATCTTCCATTTTTGCAGATGGGAAAACTGAGGCTAAAGAGAGGGGAGGAATACCCAAGGCAGAACTGAGGAACACCAATGAAAGGGACAGGAAGAGGACCCCAGAGTTCTGACTATCAATCTCCATTTCATTAAGCAACCATGTTTCCCAAAGCAGACAGACACAGCAAGGTAAGAGTTCAGAATGAGGTCCTTGGTTCTAATCTAAGCTCTGCTAGAAAAAGGACAAACAATAACAATTAAACATCTGGTCTGGCCTTCAGCAAGTCTCTCCCCTCTCTAGGACTCAATTTTCCTATTAGTAAACAACAGAAATTGGAATAAATAATCTCTAAGTGTGGGGTGCTCCCCTTCTCCCCAAGATCTTAAATCCTCAAAAGCTCAGGACCACTGTGGACTGTTGTGGTTTGCCCTTCATTCTCATAGAGTACTGTGCCATCAGGAAGATGATGCCATGTGGACTGATGATGCCGAAGGAGGGATGCCCACATGCCCAGGTCATTGGCTGTGCTCACCCATTGGGACGAAGGTCAGGCAGGGGCCTATCCAGGGGCAGGCGGTCACTGAGGTAAGCGTTGTAGCCATAGTACTGAAACTGCTTCAGGGCGATGCGCCTGCTTTCAGGGCTGAGGTCCTGGCCCCAGTGGGCAAAGAGGGACGAGTCTGTGAAGGCCTCCGCAGCACTCTCCTCAGGTTTGGCAGGGGCCTCTGAAAAAACACGAATGACAAGGAGATGCATGAGATGAGAACTTGTTTCACCAGGAGGTAAGCTAGCAGCCCTCAGAGAATCAGTACCCAGAGAGTTCAGATACTTCCCTATCCATGGTATAAAGCCTCAGGAAGAGCCAGGGCCTCTTCCTACAGGCACCTCCCATCCAAAGCCACCCTCCCACCACCCAGCAAAGCATCTCTTGCCTCTCAGCTCAGGTCCAGCAGGAATCTAAGACTAACTCTTTGATATGTAAGAGCACAGCTTGTCTGGTCAGGCATGAATACTCCCAAGGGGCCAGAGTACCACAGACTACAAGTAGTCATTAGTCCTTCCATTACAGCCTAAGACACATGTACTCAGACATTCCTGCCCAAGACAACTCCACCCAATAACACACACCCATCCCTGTACACAATCCTCACTTAGCAACGATATCAAGGAATGTATAGAATCAAGAATCAAGCATGTGTGTGTGGATACGCATGGTAGCAACACCTAAGAGACCGTATGGTGTAATGGGCCAAATATTGGATGGGATCTCTGAAGACCTGGGTTTTGGCTAGGCTGTGTGGGCCAGCCAAATACTACAGCTTCTCTGCCCCTCAGTTTCCTCATGTATAAAATGAGAGGATTGGATTAGAAGCGTCCTCTCCAGTCCTAAAAACTGATGACTTATTCATTTGGAATGGGGGAGAGAATGTACGAAAATTCCAATCAGTGAGCCAAGTCATACAATATTTAAAAGAAAAGTTTCATGGCTTTTGGATACAAAAATGGGAATTAGCAAGTGGAATGAGGTCAGGTAATGAAAGAATAATGATTCACAATAGGCCTGCATTACATAATAATGTATTAACCCCACGGCCCCAGGTGGTTTCCAACCTTTTATTCGATAAGAATATGAATTGTTCCAAATCCCAATGTGGTGAGATTGGAATCAAAGAATCTCAAAGTAGGAAAGGTTTCCCTGGGATCTCTTTGGGCATCACTGAGAATTCCTAAGATCACAGCTCTGGAGATGGAAGGGACTAGTCCAGCCTCCTAATGTAACAGATAAGAAAATTTAGGTCTCTAGCAGTTAAAAGACTTGTCCAAGGATGCACAGTTTTAAGTATCATAGATGGATTTGAACCCTGGTCCTCTGCTTTGGGGCAACTAGGTGCTACAGCAGATAGAGCACTGGGTCTGGAGTCAGGGAGACTTGTCTTCAAATCTATGTGACCCCTGGGCAAGTCACTTAACCCAATTTGCCTCAGTTTCCTCATCTTTAAAATGAGCTGGATAAGGAAATGGCGAATCTCTCCACTATCTTTGCCAACAAAATCCCAAACAGGGTCATGAAGAGTCGGACATGACTGAAAAATAACTGAACAAGAACAACCTCTGGTTTTAGGTTCGGTGTTCACATGATCTGCTTCTCAGGACTGGAATACCTGGAAAGCCCTGAGTTTACTTTGAATTATGATTACTTTTAGCCCTGCCCCTAGTCTTCTCTGTGACCTGGGTGGGGAAGCACTTCCCCTCTCTCTCAGACTTTTTTAGAAAATAAGGAGGTTGGAATTGACATCTTCCCAGGGTCCCTCTGGCATCTGAGTCGTAATCTGTGCTGCCATCACACATTCACTTAGCACATATTTCCTCGGCTCCTATTTTGGGACCAGAAAGGCTCTTTATGAATGGGTTTTGGGGGTGGGGAGGGAGACAAGAAGAGGAAGGGCAGGCAACAGGAAATCCCATTGATAACCTAGGAAATCCATCTGGAGCAATCGATGGCTGGGTTAGGGAGAGGGCAACTGCTGGCCAGGCTCGGCCTCTTTATTCAAGACTGAGGAGCTTACAACAGCAGAAACATTGATACTGTAAAAAGATCAGAATGGGATTTGAGGATTAACATGTTTATACCGACAGGCACAGCTTCCCTTCCCCATGCCTACTCCATCACATGGGCCAAAGGCTCTTTGGCATTACATCCACTCTTTGGGTGTTGACCTAAGATGAGTCATGGAAGATTTGACTTTAGAGTCTGGAAGGCCAGGGTGGAAGCTGCTACACCCCCCACCCCCCACCCTGGTACATACTTACTAGCTCTGTGACTCTGGCTAAGTCTCTTAACTGCTCTGGGCCTCCACTTTCAGCTCTATGTTCAGGATTCCTCACTCAAAAGAGATAGGCCAATACTGTGCTCCTCAGTCAGACATAAGGGTAGTTCCATGACTATCCCGCTCCAGAAGAAATGTTCTCCTTCCCCCTCCACCACCTTCTTTTAATGGGAAAAGTCAGATTTTCACTTGTTTGAGAGTTTCTCCCTTTGTTCGCCAGCCTTCACCCCATCCCCCCAACCCCATCATCCATTGATTAATGAACCAGGGTCTCAGGCCTTCATCAGGCAGGGGACTCATCCTTGTTCACCTAAGTGTAAATATGCAGTCAGAGGTCCCCTCACCCTCACCCCCAAGACTTCCCAAAGGCAGGTTTACAACCACACAAGGATCATAGATTGGAATTACAGCTAGGAGAGGCCTCAAAAGTCCTCTAGACCAACCCCTTCATTTTACAACTGAGGAAATGGATTTGAACCCAGGTCTTTCAACTCCAAAGCCATTGCTCTGGCAGCTAGGTGGCACAATGGAGAGCTCATCTTCCTGAGTTCAAATCCAGCCTCAGACACTTACTAGCTGTGAGACCCTGGGCAAATCACCTAAACTTGTTTGCTGAGAGTTTCCTCATCTGTAAAATGAGCTGGAGAAGGAAATGGCAAACCACTCCAGTATCTTTGCCAAGAAAACCCCAAATGAGGTCATGAATTCTTGGACATGACTGAAAAATGACTGAATCAAGTAATAGAACCTAGATTTGAATCCAGGCTCTCTGACTCCAAAGCCAGTATCCCCCCTCCCCATTATACCATATTGCTTCTATCCTGACTTCATCTTCCTGCCCTGCCTGCACTGCAATGTCGAGAAAGAAGTGTCAAAGTCAACTCCCAAGAACCTAAAAGTGCTGCCAGGCTAGCCCAGCTCAGTCTCCACCGCCTTCCCTACTTCCCTCCCAAGAGGGTCCAGACACAAGAGCTACAGCACTGGTACTCTCTGCCTCTCAGCCTCAGGCTGAGGGTGCCCCATGCCTGCCTTTTCTCATCTACTATAAACAAATGGAGAAGATTAAGCTGTTACCTTCTTTCCAAAAGCTCTCCTGGCCCTTGTTCACATCCCCCACCCCGTTGCTCAGTTTCTCTCCTCACCCCCAGCCCCAATGGGAAGTAGATACTGGCTATGCTCCAAGCTAAAAGTGCTCAGCTGACTATAATTAGCCCACCGCTTTGCCAGAATCAGGTCCATTCTGCTTCAAGGATCAAAGAAGATCTGCTAAATCCCCATTAAAGTAGAAGTCCTAATAAGATGAGAGTGTCAGGTCCCCAGGCCATAGGCCCACAATCTGTAAGAAATCACTGGACAGTTTGATTTGGGGCCAGAGGTGGGGCTCAGAGCTTCCTCTCAGCCACAGATTCTTCACCTGGGCTCCATGAAGCCCTGCATACATGTTAGAGGGTAAAACTTGGGTTTCACTAACCTCTAACTGAAAATTTGCATTTCTTCAGTTATTTACAGACCTGACTGAGAAGGGACCCATTGGCTTCACCAGAATGCCCAAAGGGCCCAAGAGTTCTTTAAGAATCCCTAGTCTCAGCTGTGCATGGATATGCTTCACAAGTGATTGTAAAGGCAGCAACATTGACACTACTCAATCTCTCCCACCTTCCTTTCAGGGGTCCTGTCTCATGTCCCAACCCCCAGGGGCTCATGTTGTCCAAGGCACACATTCTCCTGAAGGCAGCCACTCAGACTTGCTCTTCCCCATCAAGGAAGGGGCCCCACTGCCCTTTGGAGGAGACACATACACTATGTGGACCATGGCCAGTCTAATCCTGCTGAAATTACTTACAAACTTTATGTGGTATACTCCTCCTTCTGAATTTCTTGAACTAAGAGATGAGCAAACAGATGAATCCAATAGGGCAACCCAGGGAAGGAGGAGAAGTAACCTTGTGACTTCTATCTCACCATCCCTTTATTTCCAAGGATCTCTTTTCTCTTTCCTCCTACTTTTCTTTCTTCTTTCTTATCTCTTGTCTCTACTTCTCTCTCTCTACCACTTTTCCCTCTTCTATTTTCTCATCTTTCTCTCCCTCCTGTCATTCTTCCTTTGTCTCTTATTTTTTCCTTTCTTCTGTTTCTACTCTTTCTTGTCTCTAATTATCTCTTCTCTCTACTTAGTCTTCCCCCTTTCTTTTCTCCTTTCTATTTTACCTTCATCTCTCTCTCCTTTCTCCCCTCTCCATCTTTCAATCTTTCCTCCATTCTGTCTCTTCTCTTTCTCCTCTTTCCTCTTGCTTTTATTTTGTCTCTATTTCCCTCCTTATCATTCCTCCCTCTCTCCTCTTTCTGCTTTCCTTTCTCTTCTGTTTTCTCTTATTTCTCTCACCTCTTTCTCCTTCTCTTCTCTCATTTCCTTCTCTTTTCTTTCATGTCTCTTCCCTCTTCCCTCTACTCTCGCCACTGTTTCCCCCATTTCTTCATCTTTACCTTCTATCTCTCCTTTTCTCTCTTCATCATCCTGACTTTCACTTTTCCATTCTCTCTTTCTTTCTACCTTCTTATTCCCCAAATTTGGCGTATTTTCATCCAATAACTGATTAGACAACAAAAAAGATAAACTAAATAATACCATTAACAGATACCCAGGGGCACAACACTAGAGATTTCCATTTAATCCCCACTGACTTGGTTGAGTATAGTGCATTAACCAGTCCCAAGCCAGTTCAAGAATCTGCTATTGTCCAGTCCTCATTATCCCATCTTGTCCACCAAGACATGCCAGTGAGATGGGGTGGGGGGAAGACCTTATCAAAGGCCATGGCATTTATTTACTAGGCTGATAATAGAATCAGATGAGTCTAGCATGACTCATATTGCTGCTTAGTGAACTTGGAGATCTT